GATTACTTTGGGAAATAAGTGTGACATTAACCCGTTAATTCTGCCTCCTGACAGCCCTTTAACCACTTCCCGTCCGGCCCATGTACATAAACGACCAGACGGGAGCTATTAACCATCTGCCTTCCAGAGGATTTACCCCCCTTCCTGCCCAGGCCATTTTTTGTGTTATGGCGCTGCATTATGTTAACTGACAATTGCGCTGTCATGCAACACCACACCTAGATGACATTTAAGTAATTTTTTTCCCACAAATTGAGCCTTCTTTTGGTAATATTTGAGCGCCTGTGCACTTTTTATTTTTTTCGCTATAAGCAAAAAAAAAACCCGACAATTTTGAGAAAAAAAACAATATTTTGGACTTTTTGCTATTAAACATGTCCAGTAAAAAAATTAAAAAAATCAAATGTCATCATAAATTTAGGCCAAAATGTATTCTGCTCCATGTCTTTGCTAAAAAAATCACAATATGTGTAAATTAATTGGTTTATGTGAAAGTTATAGTGTTTACAAATGGCGGTATAGATAATGGAATTTTTCCTACTAGTAATGGCGGCGATCAGTGACTTTTAGTGGGACTGCGTTGGGCATTCTGACACTGGGGGGAACTAACTTGGTGTCACTGACTTCCCCAGTGACACCAATACGGTGATCAGAGCTAAAAAAAAACAGCACTGACACTGTACTAATGGCACAGGGCAGGAAGGGGTTAATGTGAGGGGTGATCAAAGGGTTAACTGTGCGTAGGGTGTGTTTTACTAGGGGGCGGGGGGTGTTTGCTTCATTGCAAGCACACTGCTCGGGATGGCTGTGCTGTGCACAGCCATCCCAAGCAGTGTGCCCGAGCTGACAGGGAGGAAGACTGTAAACAAAACAGTCTTCCTCCCCGTTGGTGATTGTCGGTAATCACCAGGCGCCCCCGGCAGGTAATCACTGGGCGGGAACCGGAGATTAACTTGCGCGCACACCCTACCCGAAAATCCAAAATTACGTATATATACGTGATTTTGTGAACCCGTGCCGCCATGTAGCAGCATATCTTCTAAACGGCGGCGGGTAAGCGGTTAAACATGTCCAGTAAAAAAAATTTTAAAAATCAAATTTCCTCAAAAATGTAGGCCAAAATGTATTCTGCTACATATCTTTGCTAAAAAAAAATCCCAATACATGTAAATGAATTGGCTTACGTGAAAGTTATAGCGTCTACAAATGGCGGTATATATACTGGGCTTTTTTTTTTTTTAATTTTTACAGAGAGAAGTTCAAGTATAAAAAAATAAAAAAGTCATAAGATGGTAATAATAATAATAATATACATTCACCGGCCACTTTATTAGGTCCATCCTCCTAGTGCCAAGAAAATCTCCCCCACACCATGACACCACCACCACCAGCCTGAACCATTGATACAAGGCAGGATGGATCTACCACACCATGACACCACCACCACCAGCCTGAACCACTGATACAAGGCAGGATGGATCCACCACACCATGACACCACCATCACCAGCCTGAACCATTGAAACAAGGCAGGATGGATCCACCACACCATGACACCACCACCACCAGCCTGAACCATTGATACAAGGCAGGATGGATCCACCACACCATGACACCACCACCACCAGCCTGAACCATTAATACAAGGCAGGATGGATCCACCACACCATGACACCACCACCACCAGCCTGAACCGTTGATACAAGGCAGGAGGAATCCATGCTTTCATGTTGTTTACCCTAAATTCTGACTGTAGCATCTGAATGTGGTAGCAACCAGTCTGCCCATTCTCCTCTGACCTCTGACTTCAACAAGGCATTTTCGTCCACACAACTTCCGCTCACTGGATATTTTCTCTTTTTCGGACCATTCTCTGTAAAGCCTAGAGATTGTTGTGCTTGAAAATCCAAGTAGATCAGCAGTTTTTGAAATGCTCAGACCAGCCTGTCTGGCACTAACAACCATGCCACGTTCAAAGTCACTTAAATCCCCTTTCTTCCCCATTTTGATGCTCAGTTTGAACTTCAGCAAGTTGTCTTCACCACACCTAGATGCCTAAATGCATTGAGTTTCTGCCATTTGATTGGCTGATTAACAATTTGTGTTACCAAGCAAGTGAACAGGTGTACCTAGTAAAGTGGCTGGTGAGTGTATAGCCTGTATATTAGTAATTTCAAAGTTTTATTAAAAGTGACTTGTTGAACATGTAGTGTGAAGGCCTACACAATCGCCTCCTAGGTGAAGTTTGAATGATTTGATTTTAAGTCTTACTTCCATAGCAGATCAGGATGGACTCCGATGAGAAAGAAATGGTCAAGTAGCGGGTCTTTAATAAGGCCTGCGTCTAGGAGCTCCTTTTCCTTCCCAACGGCACCCCTCCTAATCCGCCGAAGAGATGAGGCCTCATTCTGCAGTCATGGTTGGCTTATTAAGGGTGTTGCACCTTCTATTTTGCTATGGAGGTGAGGACTAAATAAAGCAATATCAAGCCTCACCCCCACAGTGCGGATTAGGGGGGACACTGCGGGGAAAGAAAAAGTGAATTATTAAAGACCTACTTCTGGACTCTCTTTTGTAGCGGAGGCACCCCTCCTAATCTGCCTCAGAGGTGAGGCTTCAAACCGCCCCATAAAGTGCTGCTTTCTTTTGGCGCAGCAGCTAGGGTTACCACCTTTTCTTTAAGCTAAACTTGAACACTTTAGTGGCACACAGCAATTTTTTTTTTCTGTAGTATACGCTATAGGCTTGTAAAAGGCCTGGGAGACCTTTGGGTGCCCCAAGGAGAGATGTAATGTGGCGCGTGTAGAGTAGCGTGCCACTGTGAACAGTGGGTGTTGCCAATTTATGTTAGCAGTGGGAAGGGCATAAAGGGGCATGGTTAAACAAAACAGAAGAATCATTTTACCCATAAATTATTGTACCGATAAATCTTGTACCCTTAGATTATTAAAACAAATGTCACTGTAAAAATATGAACTTAGCCTACCTTAAAAAAGAATGGTGTCAGTGGACAGTGTCAGTAGGGCTGTGGACGCTGTCAGTAGGGCAGAGGTTGGTGTCAGTACGGCAGTGGACGATATCAGTAGAACAGTGGACAGTGTCAGTAGAGCAGTGAATGGTGTCATTAGGACAGAGGATGATATCAGTAGAGCAGTGGACAGTGTCAGCAGAGCAGTGGAAGGTGGCAATAGAGCATAGGTTGGTGTCAATAGGACAGTGGATGATGTCAGTCAGTAGAGAAGTGAATGGTGTTAGTAAGGCAGAGGATGATGTCAGTACAGCAGTGGATGGTGTCAGTTGGGAAGTGGACATGTCAGTAGTGGTTATATTTTCATTATTTTATACAATTTTGTTTTTTTACAATTTTAAAAAAGCTACAGTGGGGGCTTTGGTCTAATATCAGGGGTCTAAACAGCCCTTTGAAGTCTTACTTTTGAGACAGAGAAAGGGACGGAGGACAGATATTCCCCAGTCCCTTTCTCTGCAATCTCAGCTGCACTGGACAGTGAATGAATTGAAAGCACTCTGTGCTGAGCGGTTTCCTGTTCATTTACAAAATGAAGCATTGTAAACACAGTTTACTATACTTTAGTTATGAATGGACACAGGAGCGATCATTACATCACTCACTGTTTTCATTCAAAAAAGGAAGAGACATATGTAATTTACCAGCCCCTTCTGCAGCTCTCCATCCTGAAATGATCCCCCACAGCAGCCGGTGTGAGAGGAGGGAAGCCAGTAGCGCGCGTGTGTGTGGGGGGGGGGGAGACCAGGGCAGCAGATGGAAGGGGAACATGGACAGGAGGGGCAGTGGGGATGGCATTTACTAACCAATTCTCCTGCAGCCACTAATTTCTGACGGAAGGGAGAGGGGTGGAGAAGCTGGCTTTCGGTTGCTGTAGGAGCATTCCATACAGCCAGTTGGTTCTAATAATTTCTTCCTCCGCCACCACTCCTGTTCAGGTATGACAGGAAGGTTGCACGGGCTCCCTGGAGGATGGGGATGGCTGTGCCTCTCTGCGGTGCTCAGGGCACGGCGTGGCACCAAGGGCACATGCTTCACACCAGTTTTGGCCCTGGTAACACCCACATGTGATGCTGAGCATCTGTGATTGTAAGAACTGAAATCCAATGAATGAAAGGGGCAGGCCAGGGACTGTGACTGCCAGTGGGCCTGGAATAGAAGAGAGCTGTGTTAGGGGAGCCCTTAGGCAAAATTAACTGAAAAGATCTGTGTGATATATATGTTTTTCTTCTACTTGATACTTGCATCTGAGGCTCCCTTCTCCCCTCGATTTCCTAGACAGTTTCACACCCTTGCAAGAAATTCCCTTATATTTATTTTTCTATATGAAAAGAATATCTTTGATTCCATGACCTCATCTCAGTTTATGGTGATCTCGGTTGCATTGCTGTCAGTAGATTGCATTTCTATGGTAGTCGCATTGGATGATGGTACAAGATCATATGATGTTTATATAAACTCTTCTATTATCTCTAGGAAACAACGATAATACAGGTGTGGTGGTGGGCTGCATTGTTGGAATGATCATCTTGATGCTGGTTGTTGTTTTAATTACATGGTATTACAAAAGGAAATCAGGTGAGTGATGATGTGATTGCTTTGCATTTTAAGGCTAGGTTCACACCTATACAGTTTGTGTTTGACTCATTTCTGCATTGTGTTTTGTGTTGCGGTTTGTGTTTTTTGCACCTGTATTTTTTATGGCTTTTTTTTTTTTTTTTTGCTACGCAGATTTGAAACGCAAAATGCATCAAAAATACATCAAAAACACCGCAAAAATGCACTACATGCCTTTCTGCAAGTCTGTAGAACCAAAAACGTAACTATTTGCATTCAATCCAGGGAGGGTGCTACCACTAGACAAACTAGGCAGCTGCCTAGGGCGAACTGCTGCTGCCTAGGGGCGCAACCACTGCCAGGGCAGCTGATAGGGCAGTACAGCTGGCCCTGCTGTAACATTCATTATATTTTCCCTGTGCCCCATCAGTTCACCTTAGGGGCCCAGGAGGCGAGGACCAGAGAGAGACTCTATTTTAAATTTTGGGTGCAGGCGTGCTGCATTTTACAATGCTGATCAGTGGTGCCCGGCCATAGCTGCTCACAGCCTTTCACTGATAGTGTGATTATCTCTTCCTCTGCTGAGGAGGGTGGAAAATGAGGCTGTGGCCCGGCAGACTGGTTGCTGTGACATTCAGATGGTAGAGAGAGAATTTGGAGGCAAAGGAGGACATAACTTGACTTTCACAGATAAAGAGGAGATGGCATATAACTTCAGCTGTCGCTATCTTTGGTTGTGGTTTACCTATGTTCATGTATTATCTTACTATATTTGAACATTAATAACTCTGGCTTTTCACATCTTTACTGAAATAAATGCTTGTTTTCAGCTTCTGAAATTGGTAAACTATTTGTCCAACTTAGTGCCACCAGAACCACTTACTGCAATATACAAAGCCTTGAAAAGTCTTCCTCCCCCTTGAAATTTTCCACATTTTCTCAAATTACAGCCAAAAACGTCAATGTATTTTAGTGGGATTTGATGTGATAGACCGACACAAAGTGGCACAGAATTGTGAAGTGGAAGGAAAATGAGAAATGGTTTCCAACATTTGTTACAAATAAATCTGTGAAAGCATAGCTGCATTTGTATTCAGCCCCCGGAGTCAATACTTTGTAGGACCCCCTTTCCCTGCATTTCCAGCTGCAAGTCTTTTGGGGATGTCTCTACCAGCTTTGCACATCTAGAGAAGGACATTTCATGACAAAATGTCATTAAAAATTTCAAGGGGTATGAAAACTTTTTCAAGGCACTGTACACCACATGTTGCAGAAGACATTTTTATTGTTTGAAAGTACCTCAACCATGTTTGTCAAGTCCAGTCCTCTCCTGGAACTGTATTTCACAAGTCAGCTCTGCCACATAAATAGAAAATTATAAAATAGCAATAATTTGCCCACTCTGGGATGGAATGCATATTACTCTTTCACATTACTATCTTGTTTCATACAGATCATCAGACGTTTATGATGAAAGATATTGAGAGTCCTGTATGGAGTGATGGTGAGAAGACCACACTGAGTTGTGAAGCTTTTAACTGTACTGGGGATGTCAAGGTGACTTGGGTCATCAAACTTAAAGATGGCAACCAGCATGAGGTCTCCGACACAGGATCAAATGATAACGAGGAGGATCAACCACTAATGTCCAGAGAGTACCAGGTGACAAAGCATGACCGTCAGAAGATGAGAGGATATGTGACCACAAAGTTGACCTTCATTCCTTCTATATCCAGACATTTGGGGTCCACTGTGTCTTGCAGAATTGTTCATCAGAAGAAACCTGTAGAGAAAATGTTTGAGTTCAAGACCATTCATGGTAAATAAAGTAACCCTATGATATGTTGTGTGAGTTGTGGCCCAGTGTATTTAACACTAATAGCTTGTTGTTACCTAACACCCGAATTCTGATTTGCCTCATTGCTCCTAGCCCATTGAGAGTGTTTATAGCTTATTTCCAGTCTATGGGAAACCTTCACTGCTCCTAGCCCATTCAGAGTGCCTCTTGACTTATTTTCAGTCTATGGGAAATCTGACTTGGACCTGGAGACAGTATTCTGACTATCAGCTTCATATATTGTCATATGCTAGCTAAGAATGTTCTATATTAGCCCATAGTCAGCAATCTACCATACTTAAACTCCTGTAAATCTAGAAATTCTCTTTTGCAGCGAGGTTGCATCTGCACTGCTAAGGTTAACTGTTCATTTAGGTCTGGGGGAGAATAAAGTAAATTTTACTTACCCGATCCTCCAATTCCCAGCAGATGGTGCTTCCCCATGCTCTAGCAGTGGACTGTTCCTTGGTATCCTCACATCCAGTGCAGGGTTATGGACCCTGCATTGGTCTTGGAGACGTCAGAGAGTTAGATCTATGGAGTGTGAGGGAGAAGACGTTTCAGGGACCGGGTCTACCAAGGATGTTTTTGCAAGCATAAGTTCAATTCTGTTAGAATCCTTTCCAGGTGAATCGCAAAACGTTGCATGACATGTGAAATCCCATGTTAGTCAATGAGAGCCATCCTAATTAGCTCTACTGAGGTTGCTTTGATTTTAGAAAAGGTTCCTGTACTACTTCAAGGCGATTTTTATCCAACTTGTGCCCATAGACTTTAAGCCCTGGTTTCACACTGATGCGGTGTGGAACTCACAGCGATTTCTATGCAAATTCCTCACCGCATCAGAATCGCACTCTGTTCATGCAAACCGCTGCGGGTGTGTATGTTAACAACACTCTGAAACTGGTTCGCAAAACGCGGTGCGATGTGCAGAATTGAATCGCATGGGTATGAATACACAAGCGATACGATTCTAGTGCGGACCCAAAAACAAGGGTCCTGCACCTTTTTGGTGCGGATGCAGTATGATTTGAGCCATACAAAATGTATGGCTAAAATTGCACAGCACAGAATTCGCATGTAATTTGCACAGGATTGCGGTGCAGTTCCTGTGGGAATCACACGCGATATAGAAGTCAATTTCAAGTCGGATCCTCATCTATAGTCATGTGATTTGGATCTGACATTACAGGAAGATTACCCAGACATTCCCTGAAAGTTGCTTCAGAGTTTCTTCAGAGCCGCTTCAAAGTAGTAGTCAAGTCGCCTGGCAAAGTCACACTGCAAGCTGCACAACTTTCAGGTAACAGTAGTGTGAACCCAACTTAAGCGCAAGGTATTTCATTTTGTATATTTATGAGAACTTTATCATGGTTCACATTATAATGACAAGCAACAGAAACTTTACTTTATTTTTGTATTCTTGTTATTGCTGTTTATAATGTGAACTTTATTTTTACTTCTGTAAGCACCTGTTTACAGGGGTCTCTCCGTATACATTCATTGGGTGCCAAGTTTACGGCTGATGTTGAGAGGTCTATTTACACCTTACATTTTGTGGTGTTTTTAAGGCAACCTTGAAGTATATACAAAGAAACCAATCGTTAAAATAATCAATCTGAACCAGTTTTTTTTATATGACACATTGATATATATCAAGTAGGCAATACATACTAGCCAATATAAAAAAACAACGGTTTTTGACAAAACATTCATTTCACAAATTTGTGGTTTTTGCAATATGTATCCAGTGGTATCTCCCAAAAGCTGATTTCCATCTTGTAACCTCAAGTTTGACTGCAGATATAGTCAAACTTATAGGGATATAGGGATCCAACATGTTTCGAATACATTCATATAGATTCTTCCTCAGGGAAAGGATACCACTCTATATAACAATAATTGTTATCAACAGTCAATTATCGGTACATATCCTTACAACTGAATAACAATAAACTAACCATATGGGATACATGACTTACGTACATAGCCACCAAAAATAGTCAAAAGAAAATGCTTTACTGTGTTTGGAAGGCGAATTTCTCCCATAACTGAGGCCATCAACTGACATGCAAGGACCACAGGTGCCACATCACAAGCGTTGTCATAACAAAATATACAGTATATATATATATAATGCTATATATGTAATAATATCTCAAAGACACACCAAGGCATCAAGTATATATGTTTGTAAGAGTAAGGGGATCATGGTAATGTGTGTCCCTTTAAATGGACACATTGATTAATGGGAAAATTAAGGTAAGTTACATATTTCCCCATATTGAATATTGTATTGTCATAAACAACAATGAAGTAAATTGAATATATAAGACATATAGTTTGAAAACTATTTTTGAAATAAATATCAAAAGTAATTACACATTTAACTCACCATAAAGTGTTGGAAGTTGAATATTATAAGCTTAGTTTTGTTGTTCAAAACCACAACCCTCCAAAGGGTCAGCGCTGGGCACAATGTGTGGTTCCTCCCAGGGTAGAGCTGGATACTGAAAGCTGTGTTTGATAGTGCCAATAATAGCTTTTTATAGGTTACAAAGTGTATGTGATGTATGTATTTCCTCCCATGTACGGAGCATGTCTGCTGGAGAGGAAGATGGTGCCCATCGTGTGGTCCCCGGCGTCCATCTCAACTGCGTAAGAGCAAAAGCACCATGCGCATTGACGTCACATCCAACTCCGGAATGACCCACTTCCAGAGACCGGATGGGCGCCATGTTGGAGACCACCGCGGACACAAAAATAATGTGGACTGAACATAAGCAAATGAGAGCAAGGGGGAAGAAAATACTTGCCCCGCTGCTCTACAAGGCCACAGATGTTGAGAGGTCTGCCCCCTGGGTTCTTCTGGGCTATGATAGGCACTGTGGACGGGGTCACTCACCGAGCACATGGGGTACCTTCACTGTGTTGCACTCATCAACACCAGGGACCAGGCTGGGACCGCTTTCAGGGAGATTCAACCTTAAAGTGATTCTAAAGGTTATTTTTTTTTTTTTTTTTTATAACAAACATGTCTATACGTACCTGCTGTGTGTTGTGGTTTTGCACAGATCAGCCCAGATCCTCCTCTTCACGGGTCCCCCGCAGGCTGTCCTGGCTCCTCCCTCCCATCGTGTGCCCCCACACCAAGCAGCTCGCTATGGGGGCACCCGCTGCTCCATGTGTCCATTCACATACAGAGCCGTTGCTTGGATGCACCCGCTCTCTTCTCATTGGATCACTGGCTGCGATTGACAGCAGTGGGAGCCAATGGTTCCCACTTCTGTCTCAGCCAATGAGAAGAGGGAGTCCCGGGATAGTCGAGACTACAGTGCTGGATCGAGAGGGGGCTTAGGTGAGTATTAGGGGGGCTGGGGAACTGCTGCACTGTGACGGGAGTCACTTTGGGTGAGGGGCCCATGGAATCCAGCTCACTTTGGAGAAGTGGGGAGACCCCTTTCCTAGCTCCCCATATCCCTCTTATGTGTAAGTCACCCTGTGCCTGTTAGGGGTACAGGGTGATCTGTCCTAATATTGGGGTGGGGGGTTGTTGATTGTTTAATGCCATGTGGTTGCATCCCATTGTTCTACAGTTGCAAGAAAAAGTATGTGAACCCCTTGGGATTACGTGGAGTTTTGCATGAATTGGGCATAAAATGTGCTCTGAACGTCATCTAAGTCACAACAATAGAAGAACACAGCCTGCTGAACATAATACTACACAAACATTAGATGTTGCCATGGTTTAATTGCACATAACATGTAAACATTCACAGTGCAGGGAGGAAAAAGTATGTGAGACCCTAGCTTAATGACTTCTCCCAGAGCTAATCGGAGCCAGGAGTGAGCCAACCTTGACTCCAATCAGTGTGATGATATTGGATATGTTGCTGACAGCTGTCCTGCCCTTAAAAAACACACACCTGTTTTGGGTTTACTGGTTTCAAGAAGCACTGTCTGATGTGAACTATGCCTCTCAGAAAAGAGCTCTCAGAAGACCTACGATCAAGAATTGGTGACTTGCATGAAGCTGGAAAGGGTTACAAAAGTATCTCCAAAAGCCTTGATGTTCATGTGTCCACGGTAAGACAGACTGTCTACAAATGGAGAAAGTTTAGCACTGTTGCTACTCTCCCTAGGCATGGTCGTCCTGTAAAAATGACTGCAAGAGCACAGCACAGAATGCTGTATGAGGTAAAGAAGAATCCCAGAGTGTCAGCTAAAGACCTACAGAAATCTCTGGCACATGCTAACATTTTTGTTGACACATCTACAATAAGGAAAACATTAAACAAGAATGGAGTACATGGGAAGACACCACGGAGGAAGCCATTGCTGTCCAAAAAGAATATTGCAGCACGTGTGAAGTTTGCAAAAGAGCACCTGGATGTTCCATAGCACTACTGGCAAAATATACTGCGGACAGATGAAACCAAGATTGAGTTGTTTGGGAAGAACACACAACACTATGTGTGGAGAAAAAAAGGCACAGCACACCAACATCAAAACCTCATCCCCACTGTAAAACATGGCGGAGGGAGCATCATGGTTTGGGGCTGCTTTGCTGCCTCAGGGCCTGGACGGATTGTTGTCATTGATGGGAAAATTAATTCCAGAGTTTATCAAGACATTTTGCAGGAAAACGTACGACCATCTGTCCGCCAACTGAAGCTCCGCAGAGGATGGGTGATGCAACAGGACAATGACCCAAAGCATACAAGTAATTCAACAAAACAATGGCTGCAACAGCACAGAATACGCCTTCTGGAGAGGCCCAGTCAGAGTCCTGACCTCAACCCGATTGAATTGCTGTGGCATGACCTTAAGAGAGTGATTCACACCAGACATCCCAAGAATATTGCTACACTGAAACAGTTTTGTGAAGAGGAGTGGTCCAAAATTACTCCAGATCGTTATGCAGGTCTGATCTGCAACTACAGGAAACATTTGGTTGAGGTTATTGCTGCCAAAGGAGGGTCAACCAGTTATTAAGTCCAAAGGTTCACATACTTTTTCCTCCCTGCACTGTGAATGTTTACATGTTATGTACAATTAAACCATGGCAACATCTAATGTTTGTGTAGTATTATGTTCAGCAGACTGTGTTCTTCTATTGTTGTGACTTAGATGACGTTCAGAGCACATTTTCTGCCCAATTCATGCAAAACTCCACGTAATCCCAAGGGGTTCACATACTTTTTCTTGCAACTGTATTGTGTGTCTCTTGTTGCTAAGTGTAGGTTGCCCCGTCCTGTGCCATTATGCAGGGAGTGGGGATTTTCCCCTGAGTGTATAAAAAGCCAGTTGGAGTTTCAAATAAAGAGTTCCATGTTCAGACAGACTGGTGTCGTCTAGTGTTGTTTGGTCGGCTGTGGTGTCTGTGGTCGGTGTTCGGACGGGGAAGCGGTATTATAACGGAAGTATCCAAGCGCAGACTGGGTCAGTTCC